TCCCATGACCAGGACTGGTCATGATGCAATTGTGGTCTTCGTTGACAGGTTGACCAAGATGGTTCACTTTGCTCCCACGCACACAAAATGCTCCGCTGAGGATGTTGCGAAGTTGTTCCCGCATAACGTGTTTAGACTTCACGGACTTCCTGCAAAACTTGTTTCGGATAGAGATCCGAGGTTTACAAGCAAGTTCTGGGTTGAGCTAGCTCGGCTGCTAGGCACATGAGCTTCGTGAGCTCCGGGCCTACACCCCTATTCAGAAGTTTCGTAACCTAACCCGGATGACGTGGCAATCTAACCCGGTTACGGTGAACACATTATTGGGTTGTTTCCTTTTACCTAACCAAATTGAACACAACCCTACATAGAATAAATTAGGCCACTAATGTGCCAGATCATGGCATCTTGACGCCTGTCCGTAGCCGAGCTGAGCGTTCGAGCGCCTAGCGCGAGGTCGCGGGTTCGAGCCCGACTCCATGCATTTTTTGCTTTTTTGCATGTATCACTTTTTGATGGGCAAAACTCGCGTGCTTCACAAAACGGTTCGTACCAATGAATTGGGGTTGACACGAGACTCTTGGAATTTAAAATTCAAAGCGTTCCATCCTCGACGGAACGCGCGTGGCGGACCTGTGACTTTGTACGCCTGCCACCGGCTTTCGAGCACGGTTCTCCGGTGAAAGCCACTGGGGAAACACAACAAGCCATTGTGTTCACAAAACACCATTGAGACCGAGCAGAATCCATTCGAGGTGTCAAGACCGGAGCCTTACCGCACAGGGGTCACCACAATTCGTTGCAAAAATAAGGCCATTTGGCACACGTCATAGTATTTCATTGCCATTTTTGAATTGGCCACCTCACATCAACTTTCAAGGTGCTTGCACCTCAAACATCTCAGAATAGGAGTTGGTTAATTTTCCAAATTTTGAAACCGACTGAGAATGTCCCCAATTGCCTGTAGTCCACGTTATAAAACTTCTGAATCGGGGTGTAGTTCCAACGCCGTCAAAGTTCCACCGTGGCAGCCCCCGTGGCAGTATCTACGGCCGGCGGCGCTTTTCCGGAGATTTTCGGGGGTCCGAGTCGAATTTTCGATCGAAATTTGACTCGGCCGCACTGACCACTGCCACTAGGCTTGGCTCGGCTCTCGAGCCTAGCCTAGCTAGTAGCCAGTGACTCACTAGTGAGTCTACTTAGACTCCGAAAACTCCGGCGCGCGGAACTTCAATCAGTTATATTTGAAGTTCAGATCAGCCTACGGTCTGCCACACGGACAGAACTTACGGCCTACGCGATCCGACGTGGAACTTTGACGGCGTCGGAACTAGGCCCACTTTCGAAAATTAGATGCCTTATTTGAATGCCCCGGGGTCTTGGCTGGCATCCAACTTGGCATGCCAGACCTTGACCAGCTTCTGCTCGTTCGCCTTGTTCTTCTCGTCGATCTCGGCGCAGTCCTTGATACTTTTCTCTAGACGTTCTCTGAAGTGATCATGCAAGGCGTGATAGGCATCACCCTCGCAGGACTCCAACGGAACTGCAAAGGACTTGAAACGTTCTTACTCCTGGTGAGCATGGGAGAGGCGCAAAGGCGCCTGGTGATAAACTTCTCAGAGAGAAGGTGGTGTAAAGGTTACACCGTTGGTGGAATCCAGAGACTACATGTTTCATTCCTGCTCCCCCTTGGGAGCTGCATGCATAATCTCATGTGTATGATATTATGAGTCGCAGACTTGCAGTACGTGCACATGCATAGACTCAGACAGTATGT